CTATTATCTGATCCACACTCCGGAGCAGAAGGGGGCGGTAATGCACCAATAAGCTGGATGCCAACCGCCGTTAAACTGGAAAGAAGAAGAAGATCACGAGTGGGACGCTGTGTGGAGAGCACTCCCTCCCTCCCTGCTTACTGCGTCACAACACGCACGCCCTGTAGTTCCGTGGCATCACTTCCGCGTGACTGGCGCTCCGCTTCCTGTGTTCTCGACGCGGACTGCAGCTCTGCGGTCATACAGTCATGAAGGCGCCTCGCTGCTTCGGAGTGTGTCTCGTGCTTCTGGCTGGAGTGTCCGCGGGTGAGTTACTGCTGGATGTGTGTGAATGATCCGCCTGACAGCCGCCTCTGCTTACACCGGCTTTACTGCTTCATCTGTGCTAGTGTTGTGCTGCGTCCCAGACAGCTGGCGCTCCTTCAGCAGGTTTAAACTAGTTACTAGTTAAGCTAGTAAACCGCGTGTGCTGTATCCAGCTGCTGGCTGTAGATTGTGAGGGGCACTTCCGGTTTGGGGGATTTCCACTCAGACCAGTAAACAAACATGTCAGTGGCTCGTTCAGAGGCCAGCCGTGCTGTGACTGCTTGCTTTCTCTTTTGCTTTGTGTTCCGCTGAAACAGAAGAGCTTCAGGGTTGTGTTCACAGTGTTGTTGTCCTCTGGTGCTGTCAGCAGTGTGTTCTCTTCAGTAACCCCAAAGACGAGTATTATCCCAGATCAAAAACACCAAGTTTATATAGATGGGAGTCGAAATGTCAATCGAAACATTATCAAAGCACAAATATCGAGGAAGGACTTGTTTTCTCTGTTTATTACAGTGTATCTGCAGAATTTATACAAATCTATGTAAGGCTTTTTATGACCCTTTCTATGTGGAGATATTTTTGCTGCATAATTCCAAACAAATGGATTATGATCCACAAATACATGTTAAAGAGATGAACATGAATTAAAGGTATTGACTAGGGCTGTAACGATATATCGCAATAGAACAGTGTCCGTTTTCACCAAGGGCCAAATTCTGCCAACCATACAAAGCCAAGGGCCACGACCACAATGTTTGCTCTGCTGCTGCTGCTGCTGCTGTTGTTGTTGTTGTTGTTGTTTATAGTCCCAGTATATGCAGCAAAAGATCGTGGCGTTCTGCTGATATCTCCTCCAGCAAGGCTCAGAAAAGGCGATGTTCAGACCAGAACTCACGCGAGTATAGTTTACCAGCCTCATCACAGTATCCATTGTCTCTCTCATTTTTCCAGACAGTTTGGCACACAGCACCGGTTTATGAGCTATGCAGTGAAATGCCATGAGTGCTGGGTTGACAGCAGCTAGCTTGCTAATCACGCCTCTGTGATGTCCAGTCATTGCCGCCTATCGAGGAACCCTGCCATAGTAAATGAGAAAACTGAGCTGAAGTGCTGTTTGTGTGGTTAAAAAGTCTTGTTTGGCTTCTTTAGCTATATTTCCACCAGGATCAGTGAATGATGATAAACTCAGGATTATACACAACTTCTGATCATTCACAGATCCAGAGATGCCTGTAAGGATGCGTTAAATTCAACAAGGCGGTTTGATAAAGCATGCATTGATCTTGTGAATTTTGCTATAGCAGTATTTTTTAATCGGCCGTAAGTTTTATACGGGTATATTACACACTGATCCTTTAACAATGCATTGGTGCAAAAACACACCTTTTTGAGATGCAAGTTAGAGAAGAAAGTTTTATAGAGGCAAAAGATAACTGCACACTCGCTTCAGCACTATATATTATATATCAACCCATTTCACAGTGTCGACTGCCTCAAATACTGCCTTAAAGGCGCTGTATGTAAGTTTTTGACTCTACTAAAGCATAAAAATACCATAATATGTTTGCAGATATTTAAGAAACATGCTAAGCTAACATGCTTGTTTATCTGAAAAACAATGCTACAGTCAGTTATTCTGCTTTGAACATGTGCGTTCCGGGCCGGAATGTCAGTCTTTGTTTTGGTTTGTGAAACCCGCCCACTGCCAGTTTACCCAATTGTGTTTCGGCACCCCGGGTTGCCAGTTGGTGGAAAACACAGCGTATTTCATTTCATTCATCGTCAAGTGCGCTCGTTCCTGTTGGTGTCCTCAATCTGGCAACCTGCGTGTGCGTCACGTCTGAGGAGGAGGGGCCGGGTGAAAAAACCCTCTCCAATATTTTGAATTTGGACTGCAATACCTAGTTCAACCACTCGGTGTCAGTCCTACATACAGCACCTTTAACCAAATACTGATTTTGTTCACATTTCACTAGGGATGCATGATACTGTTGTTTTGCTGATATCTGATATGCCGATATTTTTCCACTCATTTTGGCTGATAGCCGATGCATATATATTTAGATTGGAAACCACACCAGACAGATGCAGTGGTAACCTTAATATTTAACTTTAATATTATCGGCAAGGCATATCGGTATAATTTTTCATATTGGGCCGATGTTTACATTTTAAGCCATTATCGGCTGATTCCGATAACGTTCCGATAATATCTTGCATCCCTACTTTTTACTGTACCAATTTTTTAAATTGTCCTTTGAACTTAGCTTTATTGCATGTTAAAATAAAAAGCGTTGACGGAGCCCTTTGATCTGATGATGTTGTTGAGCACTCCAAATGCAAACTTTACATGCAACAGTCAGGCAGTGATTGACAGCGCTCTGATCCAATGGCATACAGGCATCGTCAGATGGACAGTACTCTAGCCCAGGGGTGTTGAGGGGATCCAGTGGGGGCGGCAGTCATATTTCAGGGTGACCGTGCTGATAGTGTCTACACTGGACGAGGCGCGACACGATGAAGGACTAATGATTCGCACACTCGCTTTGATGCGTCCAGTTGCAGTTACAGCGACAGCGAGCAGAGTAGACCCCGCACAATGCTTATTCGGCCTTTCAAAGCACAATCGCAGGGACAAATATTGGGCATAATCTGCACCAAAAATACTATTATAAACTAGGTTAGCAGATAATTCAGCAACAAAAGGTACTCTAGAAAAATCATTAGTGCACAATAATTTTATAAATCGAAACTTTTAGTGAAAAAAAAAACATTTAGTGGGGAACAAATAAAAGTGAATGAGTGTAGGGCTAAATCTGGTAAAATGTTACACACTGATCTTTGTGTTGTTGTAAAATACATTAACGGAAACAAGTAAATATATTTATATATTATAAAATGAAAAGACGTTTCTGTAAATGTATAGCACAGTAGTGAGGCAGCAACATATGATAGATAGGAATGGGTTTGCTGCGATTCTGCTCACGTTTGATCCGCGCTTCCGTCAAACGGTTTCGATTCGAACAGATAATCAATAATGCAAGAGTGCGGGTCAGTCTCATCTGTAAATAATTTAGTTTAGTATTAAACTGCTGTAGCATCCCATTATTATCCTCAGTCAGAATACTGTGTGTTAAAGGACATCATTGTCATCTATTGTAAAGCTGCATTAATACGTTTAGCAGACAGATGTTCACATTAACTTATAGTAAAGGAGGGAGCAAGAGCAGACTACACCACAAAAATATGAGACATAACACGGAACACCTTATTGCATTATTATTTTTCAAAAAAGATATTGTACTAATTTTGACGTTTAAGCACTTTAGAAAATGTATTGTAAAATATTTGTATGAAATATAGGTTTGTTAGTCTTGGGTATTAAAGTGATTTTTGTAACAAGGTGGAGACAGTTCTGTTCATAACAGTAGACCTGCTGGTAAAGACGTGATGGGTACAAGAAAAATAGCCATAATAATAATAATAATAAAGTACACACATAAACAGAAGTGAGAAAATGAAGAAACAGAAAAGGGAAGTGAAGGTGCTGTTCAAGAGAGAACCTTTAATTATTTTGCAAGGATTTAGACTTTTTTTTAATGTGATGGCCATACAAATAATAGGGCTGTCTGTAGTTTGAAAAACTGTTGTGGGTGTATAGCAGGAGTGTTTAAACTCCGTCCTGGAGGCCCACTGTCCGGTAGAGTTCAGCTCCAGCCCTAATCAAACACACCTGACCCAGCTAACCAAGACCTTACGAGGCATACTAGACACTTGCAGGCAGGTGTGTTGAGGAAAGCTGGAGCTAAACTCATCCGGACAGTGGCCCTCCTGGACCGAGTTTGGACACCCCTGCTGTATAGGATGGCCTGGATGAGTGTGAGGTTTCCCGACCTGCAAAGGCACATAAAATATAAAACTGTGACTTGGCTTGATACACAGTCTAATGGTCCAATGAAATCTAATTTTAAACATCTTTTACTGCACCAATTTTTTATGGCCCTTATATTTCCTATTTGACCCAATGCAGATGAATGACGTTATTTCAGGAAGAGACCGCCCTGATTGTAAAGCAAAACACGATTGGTTATAGCGAGAATGTGCTACGATTGGTCAGCGAAGTGTGACTGTTATCTGATTGGCTTGAGCAGACGGTGGGTGGAGTCACGCATTTGTGGATCATCAGCGACGCTAGAAATGTTTCAGAATCCACAAATGCACAGGACGCCATTCACAAATAAATGCCAGGCAAAGCTGTGTTTGTAGAATAAAAATATATTTGTGAATGTGTTTTTTATTTGCAAATCTCATTTTATTTATTTGTGAAGTTAATTCATGTTTGTGAAACTCTGAGATTTATTTGTGGATCTCGTTCTGTTTATTTGTGAATATGATTATTTCTTGTTAATCTCTTTAACCTTTATTTGTGGATCATAATCTATTTATTTGGAATAATGCAACAAAAATATCTCCATATCTTTAAGACCTGCACAAATAAAACTAACACTTGTATGAGCGGAGCAGGTCACGGTCTGTGGTATCAGTCCCCATTGACTTGCAAAGTGTTTTTTTTGTTTGTTTTGTTTCTCCATACTTTGGAAGTCAATGGAGACCAGCAACTGAAGGTGAACTATCCCTTTAAACCATAAAATGACTGTAAAAAGCATGATTTACAGTTCAGATACAGGTTTTCACAAAAACAAAAAGTCTTATAAAATGATAAACATCACATTTCAGCCTTTAAACCATTTTTAAGAAAAGAGATGAGTGAAATGTATAAATTATTACATTAAATTGAAGCATAAGCATATATCTTACTGTCTTAATTGTTTAGACTTTTAGAAGGCACATTAACTTCTTTTACATTTACAACTGCACTGGTCTGAACAGGAACAGCAGACGGGCTTATTGAGAATGCACATTGATTCTCTGCCAGCAGGTGGCGCTGTTGGAGCGGCAGAATATAGTGGTTTCCCCGGGAACAGCAGTAATCAAAGCAGCGCTGTGCTTACAGGTAAGAGGAAGTGAGAATGCCATCGAAACTCGATGATTCTGATTGGCCGATTGCACTGATGGCTCAACAGACACGCCTGTGGTTGGATATAATGCTCAACCCTGCAAACACTCTGTGAGCGACACTTATGCTGCACATGTACCTGAGCCATGATTCGTTTTGGGCAGTGTAGAATTGATCTATCGGTAAGCCCCGCCCCTCTTAGTTACTGTTGCTCCCTCGGACAAGCAAGCGGAGCTGCTCACTGTCTCACAATGAGAGCGGTCAGTGTGAAAACCTTGTCTTTATATCTTTTGGATAAATTTTGGACACAGAAGGACCACCATTCAAGTGGGACTTAAATATGCCATGGAGGGATATATAAAAGATTTAAAAACAAATATTGTGGGTATTAATTTGGACGCGAGGGTTTACAGATCACAATGTAAGCGGGAGAAGCCTCATGTTACGTTCGTCACGATCGCAGATAACAACATCCCGGATCAACACTGTTCATGTATCGCAGGGTACGATTAAATTAATTTACATTTAACCAGTTTAATATGAAGAGACAGTGATATGTAGACTTTCGTTTATGTGTTTTCTGTACAAGACGCGAGAACAGTCCACTATTTAGGTTTGTATGGACTCACTAACTATAACGTTAGCTAGTTTTAGCCAGAGATACCTTACTAAAGCACAAGATGACATTAACGTTCTGCTTGAGCAGATGAAAATTGTAACTTGATGAGAGTATGACAACCAGAAAATGAACGTTTGTGTCTTCATTGGGATTGGGGGTGAATGCTTTGGGGCATTTTGGTCCGTTTTGTTTGGGTTTAGGAAATAGAATAAAATAAATTCCATTGCCTATCCTCTCAGGATACCTGGAATCACTGTTACAA